GTGGTAAGGGAGGGGGTGGGGGCAGGGGGGAGAAATGAACCAAGCCTTGTATGCACATATGAATAATAAAAGAAAAATGAAAAAAAAATTACAAAAAAAAAAAAAAGTTCAATGTCTCATTTGTGCTCCTACAGTTCCCTTCATCATGGCCTTTGTCTTCAGTCTTGCCACTGTCTCCTCTGCTACGAGCCCTGGTAGATCACATTTGTCTCTTTATACCCAGACCTCAGCACACACAGGGGCTTCTGTAATGAGTGAAAATATTCAATATTTCCTACTATGTAATGTGTGTATGCCAACTCCAGTTATTTCTCACAGTGCAAATAACTTAAGGAAAATTAATTTCAACCAGTAGCTTTCCTGCTGCTGTCTTTTCAACACCAAAGTGCTAGATATACTCTGGGTGTCCTGTAAATATCTTTTTCAGGACATTTCTTACTCAAAGTGAAGTCTATAGACATGCAGCCTCCAGATCTACACAGACCTATCAAATCGGGTGAATTATACCCAGACCTCCTGTGGCTTCATGTGCACATTCAGGTTTGAAAGGCACTAGAAGAAATTTTCTTCCTCACAAAGGCCTGATTGGTGAAATGGCAGAGCATTTGAGACAGTTTGATGCACCTGGAGAATCATTCAAACCCTGAAGAATGGAGAAGTGTTTCAATTGTGTCGTCGCATCCGCCTTCCTTTTTATTTTAAATGGGACGCTTCACTGGTCATTGTGAAGGTGAATAGGAGAGAAGTTGTTTGGGCCCATGCAGGAAACTCTTCCAACAGTGCTGGGTGCACTGCTGCTTGAGTGGGGTGTGATTAGCCGCATGGGATTGTGCTCAGGGATGAGGTGAGCAGAAACCAGTGAGTTCCATGGGGCTAGAGAGCAGATTTTGTGGTCCAGGGCACTCAGACACAGGATGGCTGGCTATCTGCTCTACAACAAATCCGGGGGAGAAAGAGTGAAGGGCCACCAGGAAAGTCTCAAGTGCTCTCTTCATGGAGGAGTTACCTTTCATGAAAGGACAGTGAGGCAGTGAACTTGGGGATCTGTCTGGCAGAAGAAAGAATAACTACATAATCTGACAAGTAAGTATTGTGGAAAACATCAGCTTGAAACACAGAAAGAGAAGGTCCAAGGGATTAAAAAGAATGCAGGTGTGCGTGTCTGGTGCTCTGACTTCATTTTCTGGAAGCAAAACCTTCCTCCTTTTGATGCCAGCTGGATTCTTGATGAGCCCTCTCCATCCACTGGTGAGTGACGCTAGCAAGCAAACTGTATGCAGAGGTGGTGGGTGGAAAGTTCAATGTCAGAGGCTGTGAAAAGTGTAGTTCTGTACTCAAGGAGCCCGTATTTCCTGAGGAGGCAAGAGTAACACACACACAAACACACACACACACAGTAAAGACAGAAGTTGGAAAACCAGAGTCTGAGCAGAAAATGTCTTGGCACACGTGTGTACCACAGAGCTAGGGTGTACAACTGTTCATAGCAACATGCTGGGAAGGCCAAGATCCTGCATGTAGAAGAGGTTATTGTGATGGAATTTTGGGGCCATTGTCCTCAGGCATCACTGGAATGTGGGAGCAGCTTCCTTGTGGGCCCTGGGAAGAAAGGGAAGGCTCAGGCTGTGAGCAGGGCCCCTTGCTCAGAGATAGCTCACTGAGAAAAGCTGGCTGCAGCAAGACCTAGGTGTCATGCAGTTCAGAAGTCCTCCAGGGGAGGCAGGAGCTCCTGAAGATGACGGATGGCTTTCACCATGCTGCAATCCCCTCCTGCCAAAAGGAAATGACTTAGAACAGGTACAAGAATTTATACTGCCATACTGCATTTGCTTGGTGACTAGTGTTGCTTGTGAGAAGTCAGCTTGGGAAGGGGCTGTGTTCTCCTGGGCAATTATAGAGAATCTCATCTAGCACATGGATGCAGACTCCTCTCAGCTGGTTTGGGGGCTCAACTCACTGTCGCTCCTCTCCCACTTCAAATTCTCAGTCATCTACACCCCCACTGCCTGTGATCCCTCCATTGTTTCCCACAGCTCCCCAGTCACAATCCTCTTTGCAAACCAGGCTGCTTTCCTCACATTGTTCACTCAGCCCTCTGAATTGTCTCCATTCTCCATCCTCCTTTCCTGTGTGCAAAGTATAGGATTCACCCTACACCTCTTCTAAGAAAAGACAACCCTTTCCACCTCTTACAGTAAGGGTCAACCTACCTTATCTAGAGGCAGCAAAGAAAGTAGTAAGACTTGGCTCACACTAGGTTGCTCAATAGAACTGGACAATAGCTCAACAAGAGACAAACATCCAGAAACAGTTGGAGAAAGCTGCCCTTCCAGCTAAGAGACTATAATTCTAAGAAAGAACAGGTCCCAGGATGCTTAGAGGCAAGGGATGCCCAGGCAAAGGAATAAAGTGGACCAGTATATAGTAGGAGGAGAGAAGTTTCTTCTTCAGCTCTGGGGGCTGGGACATAAATGGCAGGAAGATGCTGTGATCACTGCTACACATATCAGAGAGCATGGAGGGCCTACCATCCCACTGATGGCAGGGACAAGGTCTTAATGGCTGTCTATTGGGAGTAGGCTGGAGGAAGGCATCTCCATGCAAAGTCCAGAGTCAGCTTATGCCACCACAGGCTGGCCAGCTTAGGCAGGGAGCCACCATGAGTAGCTGGTTCTGATGTTACACGTGCTTAAATCACGTTGCCTGACATGATGAACGGATACAGGGAATTGTTGCCTCCCCTTTTTCTTTGTTCCACAGACAAGTACATTTTTTAAACCAAGGTCTCTCACTGGCTACTCATTCATCTGCTCACCACTGCAAGGGCCTGTATTGTGACTGGTCCTGTGATGGGTGCTAGAGATACAATAAACCAACAGGTACCATCTTGGCCTCCAAAAGCTCACTGTGTGGAGCTGTCAGAGGTGTTGTTCACTGTAGGCTAGGTGCTCAATACACCTGTCACATGCAAAATTAAAAATTATGACCAGGACTTTCTTTGCATACATTTAACATGACATCTGTATAGGTATAGCAAGTACAAACTCTAAATAAATTGCATTTAAATATCGCTGTAAACATGTAATCCTAAATTGGTAGGTACCTCAGCAGTCAAAGTCAAAAATCATTGAGATCATTCCATCATTCTCTAGATATGTCTTATATTTCACTTTCCCACTTAAAATCCCATTTTGAGCATATTCCATGCTTAGAAAACATAGATATTATTTCTATTCTTTCTCTTCAAAGGCCAGACCTTCACTGCTAATCCTTACAAATTAAAATAAGGTGAGTTCTTCTTTACTCATATAACTTTTCACTTATTGATTTATTCACTCAATGACTATTTCTTGAGCAGCTCCCATTGGAGCAGACACTGTGCTAAGCCTGAGAAATTCGGTGGTGAAGAAGACTGAATCCTATCTAGTGAATTATGCCCACCAGAACGTGGGCTCCCTAAGGCTGGGAAAACACAGTTTCCCAACCCAGCTTGGTCCTCTTTCTGTCACCTGCTTGGTTCTAAATAGATTGGCACAAGATGACTCTACTTTGTTCTTTTCCTCCTATATGTCTTATCTATGGCTCTCCCCCTGGCATTCTATCTTATCAAATTTGTCCAAATGCAAACAGCCCTGGATATCTCCTGAGTTGGGAGCCTCTTCCCACCTTCCCATCTCTTTTGTTTAAAGTTTAAGAAGGTCAAGTTGTGACAGAGAGGTGCACTTTAAGAGCTGCTCTCTGAGCCAAGGGATCCCAGGTATCTCTTTAGACACAGGTGTCTTTGCTTTGTACCTGACTTGATGAATTGATTCTTCCAACCTGACACTGATGGATTGGATTAGGAATGAAAGGCAGACCAAAAGGCACCCATTCAAAGTCTGACTAGGAAACTATAGGGTAGCCTAGAATCAGTCTGCCTGACAGGGATGTGAGCAACTAACACAGGATCTCTCTAGAACAATGTAAGCATGAGAGAGGAAGAGAGAGCAAAAAGAAAGAAAGAAAGAGAGAGAGAGAGAGAGAGAGAGAGAGAGAGAGAGAGAGAAGAGAGAGAGAGAGAGAGAGAGAGAGAGAGAAAGAGAAAGAGAAAGAGAGAGAAAATATAGCATTCTCTTTTACCAGAAGTGTAAAGTCACACCAGGAGGAGGCAGTATGCAGAAGCCACAAAAGAGATTACCCTGTGAAGTACTATGAGTTATGAGGAGTTGTGAGTAGACAGTTTCCTACAGAAGCATCACATATGCAGAAGAGACAGGGCATCCCCCAAAATGGGAATGCAGAGATACCACTAACATTGGGACTGAGCCACTTCAACCACTGGTGCCACCACTTCAGCTATTATTATTATTATTGCACCATCTACCCAATGCTCTGCAAGATCCATCTATCTATGCAGCTGGCTTTTTGCCTTCCTAACTTCTCCTTAGATCACTGATTGACCCTATCATTTTGAGCATTTGCTCTGCCTTTGCATCCCAAAAGACCTGACACAAAACTCCAACTCCATCAAAAGTCATTGTTTTCCCTTCCCTGAGTCAACATTTCAGAGACGCCCTCATCCAGAAGCTGGATCTTGAATCTCCCACCTCTGTCTGTATACACTTTGTGTGAGCACAGAGAACATGACAACCTTCCCCGTGTGTCAGGAAGTGATATAAAACTTGGAATGCATCAGCTAGGCTCAGCGTCTTTGGGTAAGTAATGATCCTACTCTTTAGTGTGGTGAGAACATCGCTATTGATTCAAAGATGTCATGAAATTTGAGTGAGGGAGCACTGATGTTAGACGAGTTGCCTCTGACATTCTCAACTAAAATGGGAAAAATATATCACATAAGAAATGCGAGACTAAACCAGCTGCTTTATTTCTTGCAGCAAAATGACTAGACTTTAAAAATTTCTCTAGTTACACACTGTGATGATTTGTGGACACAGTCAGCACATTCTGTACAACAGACCATGCTTCCTCCACACAACAGGACTGATAAAAACCAGGCCCACCTTGCCAGCCAGGCTTGCAAACTGGCTTCACGTCCACCTGCACCAGGGTGTCCTGAGCAGCAGGCTTTTGTCCACAGTCGTAGGCTGTCACCAGGATCTCATACTGGCGTTGCTTGTCATAGTTCAGCTTCTCTGTGTTCCTGATGTTGCCTGAGGAACAAGGATGTTCAAAATCATTTCAGGTCAAGTTCACCACACTACACTTACTCAAAAATCCTTTTTTCACTCCATCATCCTTCTACCCACCTCTTTGTAAAACACGGGCAAACAGAAGCATGGCTGCCACTTGTGGCCACCTTTATGCTTTGATGATAGACTCCTGAGAACCACTGGCTGGAGCCCTCTCTGTGCAATAGGGCTGCTAAGGAATTCCAAGGTCATATCTGGAATCCAGCTGGCCTGCGTTTATAAGCAATGGATCACCAGAAAACTGCCTCCTAACCTGCACTCATGTGGCTGTGTCCCAGATGCAGGGCACCGAAAACTCATTCTGCCATGAAATTTCTGGGAAAAAGATGGAATCCAGAAAATGTCCTGACACATTTTTTTTAGCATCTGGGCTTGTTGCCAGGAATGTTCACTGCCTCTTCTCACATTATTTTGCTACCAAATAGGAAATAAAATCAATAAGAAAACGTGTGACCTCCCTTCTGAAAGCTACACACAGTAACAAATTCCTTGCCCTGAGGAAGACACTTTTCTTCCCCAAGACAAACCAAACAATATTTTTGGACCTGTTTCTGTGTTTTGTTCCTATGGGCTTGATAGTATCATTCAGAAATTAGTATTTGATAAATAATGAGCAAAATTTTAATTGATTGTTTTTGTTGGAATACAATTTTGTTCCTCAGAATAAATAAAGATCTGAGGATCATTTAACATTTAAAAAAATTTAGTTCCAAGAGGCTTATTTATTTACTTATGTTTTGATGGTAGTGGGGTTTGAACTCAGGGCATCACACTTGCTAGGCAGGTACTCTGCCACTTGAGCCAGACTGCCGGCCCAAATTCCAAGAGATTAAAGTCATCTTTTGCTAAGAATAATTTCCCTATGCTTTTTTTTGATGGTGAAGCTGAAGGCAAGTTAGAACTCAAACACTATCATCTTTTATCAGAAGCAAAATTAAGAAAACAGAAATCAGAAAACAAACTAATAAACAATCATGGAATGGCTGACTCAGGCATATTTTTATATTTTATCAAAACTAAAGGAAAATTACCTCTTCCATTGAAACTGATGTATAAAAACTTAGAAAATCACAAAGTCAAACAATGCTTGAGAGGCTGGGAAAGCTGACCCATCAACCTCCCAGTCGTAGTGGAGCAGTGCTCAGTACTAAGTCATTAGCAGGTTCTACCTATGCAAATGTCAGGGTGGGAAGGTGGAGGCTGGTTAATGGTGGGGAGGAAATACAAAGTCACCCAGGACACTGGACCCAACATTAGAATATGTAGTCCTCTATCTGTTCTGAGTCTTTTCTAAAAATGTAGCTACATTTACTGATTTGTGGTAGCACTTAGCTGAACCAAGTCAGTCATAATTCTCTGAATACAAATAGGTTTGATATATTTCTGTTTGGTGTTCAGAACATCTTTCACTTTCCCCCAAATATTTGTTTTACTCTTAGTCCTGATGGACGGCACGAGTCTGGAAAGCTCAGTATTAGGTTGGTAACAACTCCCCATGGATTCAGTTAACAAACTTGTTTCTAGCTGTAGTCATCACAGGGGAGGAATTCTATCAGGTGGAAGCACTTTAATATAACCACAAAAAGTATGGTTTCCACAGCATCCAATTTGATTTTGAACAAAAAGTTTTAACTTTCTCTTCCTTGAGTTAAATGGTTCTCAAAAGATACACCATTTAGAAGAGGAAAGCTCAGGGTTTACAGTCCATGTGACATTAAGTAGACAAAGCACTATCGATTGGAGTGGAAAAATAAACACACAAACTAAGTCCTTTGCTCAGTTTGTTGCAGTTTCACGTCCTGTAACAAGCCCTACTTTCTCCACCACTATCGACTTCATGCTTGTAAAAATGGCTTTCAAAGCACAGAATTTAAAGCATTATGTCAAAAATTCTATACTAGTATGGGAGAGGGTCATATTTGGATAAGAAGAAGATTTAAAATATTTTGAAAGCTCAGAAAAAGCCATCCATCTTTGGTTCTGTGGCAATTGTGTTATTTATTCTCATCTTTGAATGAGTTTTCCTACCTACTTCCTTGTCAGTTGACCTGAGCCCACAGGAAACTCAGGTGAGCTGCAGTCCCTGGGTCCGTTCCTTAGGTCCAGACGAGCATGAGGATCTAACTTCTAAATGCAAATCAGTAACTACCTTGCAAATTAATGAAGAGTTGTCTTAAAGCCCGGGGAGTGAGGGACGGGTGTGAGATAAGCACGTTGGTTGGCAGCCCGCTCTTGCTGACGGAATATATGTTGCAACGACTTAAATTGGATAGGTACTTGGCAACCCGGGGCAGGCACTTTGAATTGTTCATACCTTGTTAGATGCACTTCCTACTCTAAAAATTGATTCTAGAACAAGGTAAACCTGCAGACACATGCCCAGATATATTCATCTAAGTGTTACATATACAGTGGAAAAAACTCTGACTGTAAGAAAAGTTTAGTTTCCACATTAGGTGGAAGGTCGTTCAGCAATGAAGTGGCGATCTTAAGTGTTTCTCAGGATGAGCCAAGAATAATCAGATTTTAAGTGAAAAAAAAAAAGGAAGGACAAAGAAAAGCAAGGAGAGTGCGGCTTAATTGTACTTTAAATATACGTAGAAAAACTATTGGATATTTGGTAAACTCTTAAGGGTTGCTATCTTTGGCAGGACGACATGGCTTCTTTCTTTCTCAGTACTTCTCTGTGCTTTCCAAATTTCCCAACACAAGGCATGCATTACTTTTTTTTTCATGTGGGAAAGAAGCATTTTTGTTTACTTAAAGAATAAACAGACTTTTGGACACACTCAGCTCAGAAGTCCCAGAGTCCTAATACTCTCTGGGACAGCCTTCTGACAAAGAGCCAGGCCAGCCAAGGATGTGCAAAGATGGAACAACTGATTGGAAAGTAGAAAATTCTGCCCAGTGGTAAAGTGGGTGTCATTGACACCCGGTCTGCTCCCTTCATTCCGTACCATGATCCAGTGAATGGCCTGTGTGCATGAATTCAGATAATAACAACATCACATGGGTACAACACTGAATTCCCATTTTATTGAAGAGGGTCTGAGACAAGGTTCAAATACCTTGTCAAAGATCACACACACCAGATGGATATGGGACTGACACATTTCCTGTTTTTATAAATACTGGCCTGTAATTTCCTTTTCTTATGGTGTCCATATCTGACTTGGGATCGGGGTAATACCAGCCTTACAAAATGAATTGCACTGGATCTGTAACTTGTTTTGGGTTGTACAGAAATTTTGACAATACTCTTTTTTCCAATCCCTGAACATGGGTTGTCTTTCTACTTAGTTCTGTTTTCTACAACTTCTTTAATCAATGATTATATAGTTCTTGGTGTCCAGATTTTTTACTTTGGTTTATTTATTCCTGAGTACTTGATCATCTTTTTGACGCTATTTTAAGTGGAATTGCTTTCTTAATGTCTTTTTTTTTTTTGATTGTTTGCGGATAGAAATATGACTGATTTTGTATCCTGTAACTTTACTGAATTCCTTATTAGTTCTAACGGTTTTTTGGTAGAGTCCTCATGGCATTCTATATAAAAGAGCATGTCATCTTCAAACAGAGACACTTTTACTTCTTTCTGATTTACATGACTTTGTTTTCTTTCACCCAATTGTTTTGTTACTACTTCCCATGCTATAAATAGAAGTGACAAGAGGAGATATCCTTGTCTTGTTTCTGATCTTACATAAAAAGTACTTTTTCTGAATCTATTCAGATGATAATATGGTTTTTGTACTTCATTCTACTAATGTAACATATCACATTTATTTGGTTTGTGTATGATGAAGCTTCCTTGCATCCCAGGGATAAATCCCACCTGATCATTTAAAAATATTATCGAATTTGGTATGTTTTGACTTCTATGCTCACCAGGGACATTGCTCTATAATTTTCTTTACTTGGGGTATCCTTATCTGACTTTGGTATTAGGATAAGGCCAGCCTAGTAAAATGGGTTTGGAAGTGTTACCTCCCTTTGAAAAATTTGGAAGAGTGTGAAAAAGATTGGTATTAGTTCATCTGTAAGCGTTTGGTTGAACTCAGTTCCACCAAAACTCCTAGGCTTTTCATAGGCAATATGAAAATTACTGATTCAATGTCCTTACTCATTATTGGTCTATTTTCTGATTCTTTATTCTTTAATAAACCAGTCTTGGTAGGCTGTATGTTCCTGGGAGTTTACTTAGCTTGTCCAATTGGTTGGTGCATAGCAGTCTCACAATCCTTTGTATTTCCATGGTATTAGTTTTAATGTCTCTCACTTCTCTTTTTTCTCAGTCTAGCAAAGGGCTTGTCAATTTCATTTATCTTGTCAGAATATCCAAGTTATCATTGATTTTTCTACTGTTTTTCCAGTCTTTATTTTCCGCTCCTATCATTGTTATTTCCTTCTGCTAATTTGGGGCTTGTTTTTCTTGTTTTTTTTTCTAGTTCCTTGAGGTGTAATCTTAGGCTGTTAATGTGAAAATTTTAAAATGTAAGGAAGCCTTTATCATTATCAACTCCCTTCTTAGAACTGCTTTTGCTGCAGCTTAAGTTTTGGAATGTTGGGTTCCCATTGTCATTTGTCTCAAGGTATTTTTAAGGGATAGTCAAGGTCTATGCTATCTGACAGAACTGTCATTGTCCCTCATTTGTAGCCCTGGGTACAGTGACACACGGGTGGTTCAGTGGAGGCAAAGGTGGAAGCTCTGCTGCTGCTGAGTTATTGGTTGCTTTCCTCAGTGGCAATATCTGCTGGGGTCCTCTGCAGAGCAGGCCGCTGGGGTCTACAATGGTACACACTGTGGGATTTTTGGTAATGAAAGTTGTAGGGGTTGTATAGTGGCTATATGGGCTGTTGCGGTGTTCAGTGGAGAGGGATGCTAGTGTCCTGTGCAGAGCAGGCCACTGGGGACCATGGTGGCTCCTACCAAATGCCTGATAGTGATAGCCCCTGAACATATAATTTTCCCTAGTGGCTTCAGAGATCTCAACCATGCTGGTCTCCTCAGTGATTTGGGTGGGATGAAGTCCAGTTGAATCATTTGGGGGAGGACCCTGGAAGGCTAGGAAAGATAGTTGTTCACGCTATCTTCTCTTTCTCTGTAAGGGAAACTTGTGAGCTGAAGAGTTCCCCCTCTTGCTGATCATTGCTGGTCTGGGGGATGGGGTGATGCAGGTGACTGAAACTGTCTTTCCTATACCTTTTTGTGCAGTTACTCTTAATTTCCTTCCACAGTGTTACTGTAATCTTTTTCATGCTGGGATTGGGCCCAGGGCCCTGCACCTGCTAGGTAGGCACTCCACTACTGTGCTTCATCTCCAGCCCTTGTTTTTTGAGACAGAGTCTAGTGATTCTCCTGCCTCCACCTCCGGAGTGCTGGGATTACAGCATGTGCCATCACGCCCAATTTCATATATCTTCTCAATTGGATTCCTGAGCTCTTCTAGACTAGGTATTTTCTTTCATGCATAGCTGTCTACTTGTTTTTTGTGGAGGGAATGAAGGCTGGAATCTCCACATATGATGTCTGGCATATTGCTGATATCATGCCTGCCTTTGTGTTTATGAACTTAAATAGCATCACCACGCATCCCTGCCAATTATCATTGAGGAACAGTGATCTCATGGGAAGGCCTGGGGCCAACACTCAAGAGTCCTGGTTTCCAGTTCCAACTCTTGCCACACAGTGTGACTATGTGTTAAGCAAGTTCTTCATGCTTTAGGATTCACCTTTTCCATTTGTCCAATGGAAATAGGGATCCAATAGCTCATCTCAAAGTGACTGGCCAAGTTCCAGAAGACGGGGTCCTGTATGCCCTCTGAAATTCATTCAGAGCATTCCAAGATGATGGTGATGTCCTGACTAACAGTTACATGGTCATAATTTCAGTCCAGAAATCCATGAAGAGTGAATTAATATCATGTCCCAAGCACACAGGTCAACATTTAATAATCAGGACACCATTATTGAGTGCATCTTATATGACAAGTACCATGAAAACATTATTCCCATCCATGGTCTCTTCTCAAGGCTTCACAACCCCACAATGAGGTAGAAATTGTTATTGCCAAGATTTTATAGGCAGGTAGGCTGAGAGCCTACCAGTTGGAAGAGGCTGAGAGTCCGGTTAAAGACAGGTCAGGTTGACTCCACATTGTGTCTTCTGTTCTTCTTGCTGCCCTGGCTCTCTTCTCTTCCCCAAAAGCAAAGAGCCCGGCAAAGTACCAGCACTGGGAGTCACCTACCTGAAGCCATGGGCTGAAGGGTATGGAAAATCTAGGCCTCAATGAGTAAACCCCAAAAGTTGAGCAGCACTTTCTCTGATATGCACACATGCAAAGAACTTCTTCAAGGAACTGAGAAGGTCATCCATAGAAGTTATGGATAAAGGCCAACTGGGAAGCTCATTAGAATGGGAGTTGCTTTTGCATCTGCCCCTAGGTTCTGCCTTCATTACTTTGAGAACCGCTTTTGTAACTCTCACTTTCAGGGGCCCACACTCCCTAGGACTGCCCACTCTCCTCTTGGAGACAGAGGCCTGGCAAAGGCCCATTACTCACTTTTAATGAGACAGCCAGGGAAATAAATTGGCATATGTTAGTGAAATGGCTCATCAGGGTGAGTAATTATCTTCATGACTGGGGCAGTTTACCCTCAGATGAAGGAATTTGTATCTCATCTCTCACTGGGCTCTGGCTCTCAAGACTCAGGCAGGAGGCCAAGTGGAGCTTGACCACTGATCACAGATCCTTCCACTCATCTGGTGTTGCTATTCACCATGTATTTGTCACTGCCCAAATCCAAAGCTTTTATGGGGTCAGGCTGCATGATTGATCACAGGGAATTAGAGACCCAGAGGAGAAAAACACAAAGCAGTTGCTTTATCGACTGGTGAGTGTATGCCTGCATATGTACTTGCTTGTCTGTGTGTGTGTGTGTGTGTGTGTGTGTGTGTGTGTGTGTGTGTGTGTGTGTGTGTTGGGGACAGGGCAGCTATTTTATAGGGCTTGTAAGAGAATCCGAGAATCTGTCAGGGAGTGGTATTGAGAGGCTCTACTAATGTAAAATTATCTTCTTTTAGTTCTGAACCAGACATTACTTAAAGTTGGGTATTCCTTCCTTTTCTTTTGTTTGCACTGATCTTTTGCCCTGTACTGTTAGCATCTAGTGATGCCCCATTGTGCAATGATCATTCCCATGGCTTTTTAGCCTTTTATAGGGAAACTAGCTCCATTATTAGTTTTCTCTTTCTGTTTTGTAAATATTAGTTTCTCTCCCAAGATGGATCATAAGCTACTTGAGGTCAGGGATGAGAGCCTTTGATTTGCTTCCATCCTCTATGGAGTCTGCTGTAGTTTTCAGGATATAGAATATTATGTCATAGAGCAAGTTCCAACCTCAACACCAAGAAGCACTCCCAAAGACTTACAAGCAGGTTCTGGAAGATTTTTCCATGTAGACATTGCTACCAAGAGATCTGGAGTTAATTTGTTGCCTAACTTTGGTTATTGGAATGCTTTGTGCATTAATTTCACCCTTGATGCTCCATTATTTTTAAATTTTTTTCACTAGCAGTTCAGGTCATTGTGGGCAGGCCTGAGTGTGGGTGGTGGGCTTGTTTCCCTGATCCTACTGGGGTCCTCTTAGGACACTCACCATTTCTGTCAATGGCAAAAGGCACATCTGTTGTGACGATTTCATAGTTGCAAATCTGGCTGTACTGGGGGGAGCAGTCCTCGTCAATGGCCTCCACCTGCAGAATGCTGTCATAGATCTTGCCCTCTGTTACAATGGCCTTGTAGGCTGGCTCTTTGAAGGTGGGAGCAAACTCATTGACATCCTTCACCTGGATATGGACCACGGCCCTGGACCACAAAGCAGAAAGAAGAGAGAGTGATAAAGAAAGAATTGCATCATCCTCTCAAACGTCCCAAGTCATTAACTCAGCCCAAGGCCAAATGAGTGGAGAAATCTCAAACCACTTAGGTATTGCCTGAGTGCTCTGTCCTCTCTCCATTGGGAGCTAGCCACCTGTCCTCACCCGCTGCTCTGAGTGAATCCACCCTTTAAATACATGTCATTTTTTATTGTCTTTCCTTGTCTCCCACCTTTAGGCAACACATTTCATCTTCAGATTCTCCCCTTTCCCTATTCTCTTCATCTATTCATTCACTCTTCCATTCAGAAAGTACTTCTCTTCATCTATATTAGACTCTGAGACAAATTCTGTAAGGGAGAGAATGGCGGTGACTTGCAATGAAAAGTCTTGTGACAAAGAGAATCCCAGGGCTCTGAAGAAACCCAGAGAAAAATCTTAACTCTTGTTTAGGGAGAAGGAGGACTTAGGGAAGGCTTCTTGGAAGAGGTGACCACTGAATTTGGTCCTGAAGGTGTCCTAGAAATACCTTCCAGGACAGAAGAGTGGGTAGCATTTTCCTGGAGTAGAAAACAGACTTGTAAATTCCTGCAGGGGAACTGGGGAACAGTTGAGCAGGGCTGGGGCCCCTTGGTGACCAGTGCATAAACATATCTAAAGAGCACCCTATGAATGGAAAGAATGAAGGAAATCCAGGGAGCTCGGGCCCGTCACTCACTTGTGTGACTTCTTCCAGGCTGTCTCCCGGGGCCCTGCACCACAGTCATAGGCCTGGATGATGAATGTATACTCCTTCTGCAACTCACAGTCGATGGGACTCTTGGCACGGAGCCGACCCTCCCCAGATGTCTTGTTGAGCACCACGGCCTCAAAAGGAAGCTCCTGGCCATGGATCTTGAATGCACAGATTTCTCCTGCAGAAAGAAGTAAGACCGTGAGTGGGAATTGCCAAACTGAAGACAGGGCCTCTACCAGGCCAGATCCACAAGCCCTAAACCTCCATGGAATTCCTTCACACACTCAGCGGTCTCCTGTTAATCTCCAGAGATCCAGACCAATGGGTTCATTTCACAGAGAGGAAAATGGAAATGTTTCATGCATGGAAGCGGCACTCATTAGGTCCATCCAGGTGGGAAAAATGTGAGCCATTGTGCTGGGGACCTGGTTGATGTTCCCAGGTTCCACATTGTTTCCCCAGCAGGTTTCCTGCTTGCCCTTTGCCAGCTGTGGGATTTAGGAACTTGCCTAAAGTTAAAACACAAATAACTGCAAGGAAAAGACTCAAAGGCCAAAGGTTTTTCAGCCTTTTGCCCCATGAAACATCCTCAGTACCTAAAACTGATTGCACAAAATAGCAGCATCAGAGGAACCTAGAGCTCATTAGAAATACAGAACCTTGGCCAGGTATGGTGAGGAACACCTGTAATATCAGCTACTTAGGAGGTGGAGATAGGAGATTCTTGATCCAAAGCAAGTCTGGGCAAAGATAGTGTCAGATCTTATCTGAAAAACAAATTAAAAGCAAAAGGAACTGGGGGTGTGGCTCAAGTGGTAGAACTGCTTACTTAGCAAGTATGAAGCCCTAAATTCAATCCCTAGTATGAGAGAGAGAGAGAGAGAGAAAGAGAGAGAGAGAGAGAGAAAAGAAGAAGAAGAAGAAGAAGAAGAAGAAGAAGAAGAAGAAGAAGAAGAAGAAGAAGAAGAAGAAGAAGAAGAAGAAGGAGGAGGAGGAAGAGAAGGAGGAGGAGGAGGAGGAGGAGGAGGAGGAGGAGGAGGAGAGGAGGAGGAGGAGGAGGAAGAGGAGGAGGAGAGGGAAGGACAGAGGGAGGGAGGGAGGGAGGAAGTCCCAGGCCTTGGCTGTACCAGACTCTAGATTTCTAACACAATCCCCAGGTTCCCTTAAAGCATGAGCAGCTTTGCTCTTCTTTTTCCTTTACTCCTTATTTAAATACTCCCCATTGCTACAGCCAAATTTCCTCCACCTCCCACTCTCCTCCATTATGTCTCTTCACCTACTCCTTCCCAGTGGGGACAAGGGAACCACTCGAAATGGCAATTTTCTCTCTTGAAACAGTGGGGGTGAGTCTCAGTGAGTATAAGATTCCCTGTGGAGCCTGAAAAGCTAACCTCTTAAAGAGCTGAACATGTTGTGAAATTAATGTATTTCACCCCTTCAGCTGGGTTAAGGTTTATTATAACTATTTCTCTGCATTGAAATGTTAAGGCCATGAGAATCTCGCTTTTTTCCCATTGTGGATATTTATTTTTTGAACTCTGACTATAAGCAAGCCCTGTAGTAAGTGCCTTGCAATGTGATGAAAATTTGAGACATGTCCTGTTCCAAGCTGAGAGAATTTTCAGACTTGTGAGGAAGATGCTATAAAGATGCCCAGAGGCTATTGACGGTGCAAAGGTTATGTGAGTGCTCGGTGGTACGGGGAAGAGAGTGCAGGTGCAACACAGGCTTAGAGCAGAGAGGTCTGGATGCAAAGTCCAGGTTGAGCACTAACTGACAGGTGTAAGTCAAAATGTGTTGCTTCTCTGGGTCTCACCTGTGCCATCTGTAAGAGGATGCTGTTGGGAGGGCATCTACTCTGACATGCTTCATCCTCAGTCTGACATTGCTCCAGGAACACTGCCCTGGAATCAGGGAGCGACAAGTGAGCCACCTAGGATGAACCCAGGAGGCCTCGCTGTCAGGGTGACCCAGGTGCCTGCTTGCTTCACCCTAACCCAGGTTGGCACGGTAAGAAGATGGGATAATAAGGTTACATTCTTGTTAGGCACTTTGCTTTGTACCTCTGTCTAAATCATCTCATTTGACCTTTGTAAAAAACCTAAAAGCAACTGTTTTATACAAACTTACACAAATTGGGAGAAAAAGGAGGAGGAGGTGGAAGGTTAATTACTTGCTCAAGGTGACAAAGCTAAGGTTGGGTATTAAACCCAAGTATGCCTGACTCCTAAATCTGTGTGCTTTCTACTCCACCACATCATCTCCAAACAGCCCCATCACTTCTAGTGAGACCCCTCAGGGATGCCTCCAAGAACAACTCACATTCCAATTAAAGTCTCGCTCAGGAGAGAAGTCCCTCATTTGACATATAGGAAGCATGCCCTGATCGCTTACAATGTTTTCTATGGTGTTCAATCAATAAGAATTTTACCTCTAGGCTTTTGTTTTTCTTATTATTTCTTCGATCTTCAATTTCATTATGAGCTTTCCATTTTCATTGCCTGCCCCCCTGGCCATTTCTCAAATGTCACCGTGGAATAATGGACAAGACAGGTTGAAGACCAAATTCTAACAGGAACACTGGTTTCCATTAGGTGTTGTTGCTCAGTACTACCCATCCTGACAAGGCTCAAGTTCATTTGTTCCTTGGGTTTAATTTCGCACTGAAGTAGCTGGAGTTTAACGGATGAACCTCTAAAGGACCTGTCTTGTGATTCTATCACAAGATCAATGCCAGTGTGAGAACATTACCAATGTACCTGGACTGGCTCTGGGGCATTCTCTGGAATGCCCAACCACCACCATGATTATAAGGCTAATCAGACCATTTCTCTTTGAAGAGCCAAGTTAAACCTAAAATAGATGAGAGTAATTTTCTGTTGGAAACATCTGATCACAACCAAAGTAGTTCTCAAGACTCAGCAATTCTTAATAAGAGAAAGGAGAAAGAGGTGGGGAGGAGAAAGAGGAAACAAGGGGAGAGCAAGATAAAGGAAGTTTCAGGGCCACACATTTCCATCCAACTTAGCTTCAATTCAAATGAACTAACTCTTTTGTTTGGGTGGTGTTGGGGATTGAACCCAGGGAGGGACTTGTGCACACTAGGCAAGCACTGTACCACTGAGCTACACCCCCAGTTGAGCTAACATGTCTTGAGAGGTATGGTTTGGCTATGAGGTGCCCTTCCCACCCAAAGACTTATATTGAAGGTTTGATCCGTAATGCAGCAATGTTTAGAGGTGGGACCTTGAGAAGTGACTGGTCCATGAAGGTGCTAACCTGGTAAGTGGGGTAATCCATTAATGAATCCATAGCTGAATGGCTATTAGTTGGTAGGGCTTTGTTGGAGGAAGTGGGTCACTGGAGGCAGGCTTTTTAAGAATATGTCTTATCCTATCCCAGTTCTTTCTCTCTCTCTCTCCAGTTGCCATTTGGTGAGCAGCTTTGCCCATCACATGCTTCCAGCCAAGATGCTCATCCTGCCTCAGGCCCAACACAATGGGGCCAAGTACCCAAGTACCATGGACTCAAACCATGAGCCAAATAAATTGTTCCTCCTTTAAGTTACTTTCTCAAGTATTTTATCACAGTGATGGAAAACTGACTAACATACTAACTAAATCTTAGGCACTGTACTAGGACTGGGGATACAAAGACAAATTTCTAAGCACCTTAAATACAGGATCATGCATTCTCAAATACTCTTTCCCTGATAGAAAAGATAGACAAGCACACAGGGGAAGGACTGTCCTCACTTTTACCATCAGCTCAAACTGAAACAGAATTTGATCCTTTTTGAACAAAATCTAAAATTCATGTTCTCCTCATTTATTGCACCTCTTCACCAGATACCTGTGTTCACATTGCAAAAACATTTGCTTATTAAATCATCTATTCATTCACTCAATAAGTCTTTATCAGGAACTAGGTATCAGGTACCCTTGGGACAGAGAGGAAGAGAACCAGATCCAGCTGGGGCCCACACTCTGCTTGCAGTCCAGTTGGGAAGAGAAATAAGCAGTCACCTAGCCATAAGTGAAGGGTAGAAACTGTGAGGTATGTGCTGAAGAATTGTTGCATGGGGCTCAGACTGGGCAGGGGGCAGGCTTTCCTGACAGTGTGAGGACTGAGCCAAATCAAAAAGAAAGCAGAGACACTCAGGCCATAGGAAGGGAATCCTACTTCAGGTGGAGGGGGACACCATGCCTTGGTGATCTTCAGTAGGAAGGAACAGCGTGTCCAAGAGACTACCTGGTTCAGTGTGGCAGGCCTGGGAGCCACTGGGCAGGGCCAGCTTCATATGTGTGTGAGCTGAAAGTCACACAGAGCCCTCTGTTCAAAAGTGGCCTGAGCTTTGTTTAACTCTCTGCTGTCTCTGTCTTGAAATTCTTACTAATTTTGTCTTGTACTCGTGAATGAAGTCTTAAGGGATACTGGAGCACGTCATGGGCAGAGGAGATGGTGCAATCTGCCCACTGTGTCTTGCTGACCCATTTCCATGCAGCATTCAGGATGCCCTGTGAGCACAGAATTCTAGAAGACCCATGACAAGTGGGAGTTAAACAGAACTCAGAGCAGTAATAGGTAAGCACATCATGTCTTCAACTGAGGGGGGAGTTGCCAGCCCCAAAGAACTATCTATGCTTTCGGTTTGAACCAAAATTGCTTTGCATGTGGTGTTAGAAGAAATATGATCAACCAATGTCTCTGTTATATCTTTTCTTTCTCGTTTACTTTCCTGGATCAGCCAACCAATTACGCTGGGAGTCATGGAAAAGAAGGAAAGGGAAAGAGAAGACCTCCCTTTCTTTTTCTGCGACTCTTACTATCAGTAAACCATAGGTAGAAAGTGTTGATAGAATGTGTGCATACAAAGACATAAAATAAAAATAATTGCTTCATGTAGCAATCATACGAATAAGAAATATATGTGCATACGTGAACTACAAAATACAAATTCTGTAAATTTAGTGACTCAACACATCAGCTAAATGCTTATATTTGTATTTTAAACTGACATTGTGTCATAGAAAGATAAATGTTAAAACTCAGGCTAATAAACATTTAATTTTCCTGTACTTAGAGCTACATCAAACAGAAAATGTAAAACACCACAAGTTGAGAGAGAGAAAGAAAGATGGCAGAAATGTCCTGGGATGGAGTCCTAAGAAGAAGGAT